GGGGTTTTTCCTGGGCTTTTTTTAAACAGACAAAAAAATCCCTCTCACCAACTTACAGCATGACCCTAAAGGTTATGCAAAGGTAGAGAGTGGGTTCTGGTAAAATGTGTGACTATCTTGAGGAGAGTTTCAATGCCTGTCTTTAAATGTCTTTTCACAGCTTCAACTTGGAGTCTGTCAATTTCATGTATTGACTTGGAGATGCTTGATTTAACTACAGCATGGCCCTTGAGGCTGGAGATGGTCTGGTTGTTTCCAGAGATTGTTAGCATCCCTAGATTGCAGAGACTATGCCATCTAATGGTCTGAGTTCAAATCCAGCAAATTTAGAGTGGTTTCTGAAACCCTTGGAGATGAACAGATTTTGCATGTGATCGACTCCCTCTTTCCAGTGGGAAAGGGCCTAATGTGAACAAGAAGCAGGCCTACTATTGGTAGCTCCTTTCTGGTAGGAAATAACACAGGAGTTGTCATTTCCATGTAACAGGAGGGGAAGCTAAAGCTGAGGGCGATTTATTTCCAGAATCTGTCTCCTAGTCTGGAGAAGAAGTGGGGTCAGTGCCAGGAGGCCTGACTGCCAGGCCAGTGTCTCCCAGAGATGAAGATACCGCTGGACCATAGAATGATTCAGATTTGAAGGGACTGATCCTACTCAAAGCCAACTTCCTAATTAGATGAAGTTGCTTGGAGTCTTGCCCATTGCAAAGACAACTTATGGCTTGGGTGATGCCAAGACAAAGCCCCTTGATGAGGAAACCACGGGTCATAGCAAATTCTCGGTTCCTGCAACAGATCTACAATCCTAAAGCCAGCCAAGGATCCTCATGTTGTGCCCAGTTCAGCTGTTGACTCTCCAGCTGCTCTGATGCCCCAGAGGGCTGTTTGCCATGAGGGAGGGGAGCAGCTGGCTGCGCTATGTGAAATGTCTGCGTTTTCCCAAGATGCCCATTGTCTGTCTGCAGCACCAGCCTCCACCCTACTTGCTCACTGAGCCGTGGCTGATGTGTCTTTAATTAAAGAGGAGGAACAATTTGAGATTTCATTTTCTTTTCTCAACCGTATTTCCTATTTCCATCAGAGTTTGCAGGGCCCCCTCCCCTTACATTTGTCTTGTAGTTTTGCTGTGGGGCCTTCAGTTTATGGCGTGTCTGCTCTAAAATAAGGAAGAAATAGCAAAAAATAGCTTGTTTTGGGCCAGGGAATTAAGATCCTGAGTCAGATGGCTGCTATGGTCATTAACATATTTACATTTTTGCTTAAGAGCCTGGTTGAGGATCAAGGGAGTTAAGGGTGATTGTCATTGAAATGCGGAGGAAACCTTGCATGAAATTGCCGTTAGTGTCCTATTGTTTGGGGGGGTGAGGGGGGGCAAATGGCCTTCCTCATCCCTGCACCCGTTGTGTTGCACTTGTTTGCCCAAGTAGATGGGCAGAGGCAGAAGGAACTACGCTGAAGGAAGCCACTGTGCTGACTTAGCTGCTGGGAGGCTTTGCCTGGGGAGCTGTGTCCCTGTGGGGCTGAACCTGGGGCTCAGCGCAGCCATGCTGCTGGCTGCCAGTCATCGTCTGTCCTCTCGGTGAGACAAAGGTGCTTGGCTGGGCTTGTGGGACAACTAGCCCTTAACAAGATCATCATGGATAAATACATGAAGCGTGTAGCAAAGGTCAGTTGCCTCTTTTATAATTGATGGACCCAAGTGTTTTGACTGTGCCGTCACATGTTGTTTTTGCCGTGTGTAGGGACACATGTTCTGCAGGACCAGCTCAACCCCTTGATTTTTGTGGTTAGCTGTGATATCAGAAACAAGGTTTGAGGCAGTTTGAAGTGTTGAGGTGGATTCTGAGTGCTGTAGTGACAGATTTTTATATGCTGAAAAAAAATGTTTAAACATAAATAAGAGAACTCCCTTACAGCTGGGGTTTACAGAAAAACATTCTGCTCCAGGTTGTGGAAGCAGTGGTCTAGTCCTGCTCTGAGGCAGGGTTTTTTAGTTCAGATGCCAGTTGTTCATTGTTCACCTCTTACTCTTTCATGCTGTTCAGATCCGCTGTTTTAATTCAAACCTATTTCTAGTTAGTATCATTAACTTAGTGCCAAAAAGAAAATTATACGTAGTAATGTGAAAGAAGAGAAGAGCTTCCCTAGCACATTTACAGTACTGAAAATACTAGCTACCTTCTGCCACTGCTTTGATTTTGGTGGGACAAGCAGCAAGACAGTGAGCTGAAGGAGGAATGCCGGTACCTATTGGTGTGAGAAAGAAGCATCTTTGGAGCAGAGGCTCATTTGTAGCCACCAGACAGGCTTCAGCTGCCTGTCCGTTCGGGAAGCCAGCAGCCAGTAACAGCTATGGACAGTACCATCTTGAGTGACAGGATCGTATCTGCTCTAGTGCTAGTAAGTCTGGAGTCATTAGTGTGTCCTTGTGGGCTGGTTTGAAGCTTTGAAGCGGTTTTGTAGTTTTTGTTCTTGGTTACAAAATGTTTCTTTTTGGAATGCATTAAAGCAGAAAAAAGTCTGGGAAAAGTTGTTTGTGATCTGAGCAGCTCTTTTGTGCTTCGGGAGCCTGTATGCTTCAGCTCTGTATCTCTTCTGCCCTTTGAAGGAATAGCCATGTTCCCCATGGCTGTGGCCATTGGTCTTTTCTACAAAGTCAAACAATGAGCACACAGCATGGGGAGAGTCCCACACTTCAGTCACTGACCCTGGCCCTCAAAGCAGGGAGGCATTTAAGCTTTCAGGGAACAAATGGTTTTGTCCTAGACAAGCTAGGTTCTGACATCTCAAATGTCAAGATACAGTTAAAGTGGTGCAGTTAAATAAGATGTTGGTTAGGTCAAATGTTTTCAGGAAACAAGGATGAACGCAGCAGTAGCTATGGGATTGCAGGTGTTAGATCCATTCACTGAATGACTCATCCCCCAGCTTCTGCAAATTCCCCTTGAGAAAGGTCATCTCAGGTATTATGCTAATAATACTTTATTTCCTGCGTATCTGTGCCTCTGGGATTGGGCATTGGAAAATTAGGCTGGCTTGGGAGTCCCAGCAAGAGCCAAAAAGCATCAGAGCTGAGCCAGAGTGCAGAAGCCCTGATTTTGTGGTTGGTTATAGAATTTGATCTGTTAACTCAAAGCATCAGAGTGGGCTGGAGTAGGGGAGCTAAACTTCTCCAGGGATTAATATTAAGCCCTTGTTTAACAGTAAACAGCTGATGAAATCCACCTTTGGCTCTGAGAGCCAGCTGTCAGGAAGGTACATCCAGGCCACCTTGCAAGGACAGAACAACCCTTGGCAGAGGGCGGGGGAGAGTGCCCAGCTCTGACTGTCCACAGGTCACTTGGTTTGTCTTGTTTTGTGTAATTCACTTGCCTCAGCAGCTTCTTCACAGAGGGGGCTGCTGCTTTGACGAAATCGCAGACCAGCTCTGCTCCAACAACGGGCTGTGATCTCCCCTCCTCAGATTAGACAGTTTCTCCTCACAAAGCAGCCAGTGATAGCAGAAGTCCCCAGGAGCAGCAGGACAAAGGTGCTCCTGCCGGATGGAGATGGAGCCAGATCCTCGCACGTGGGCACTGCGTCCTCTAAACAAGCTGCCCGTGCCTGAGGCTGGTCTATTTTATAGCTGCTCTGCTTGCTGCAGAGCAGTGCCAGCCCTGCCGCTGGCAGGCTGCATCATGTGCCCCATTCCCCTTCTTACCTCCTCCCTTGCCAAGGCAGCCTTTACTCCGCCGCGTCTGATTGAAGGCCCGGCGCCTGTTCAGCTTTTGTTCTCCGTTAGGAAAGAGCAAGGATTGTCAGGACCTTTTTGGCTCTGCCAAGGCCTTTTATGTCCCAAATGTTTCCATGAAAAGACTCCCTCCTGACCACCCTGCCCCCTGACAGCCATTCAATCCAGCCAACAAGCTTGATATCATTATCTACAAAAGGAGGCCAGTGAGCACCAGGGTCCTCGCAGCCAAGTTTGGGAAATCAAAGGCAAATCTCCCAGCAACAGAGAGCTGGCAGAGATCAGACTGCACCACAGCTAGCGCGGGCTGGTCTGGCAGCTTGCATCCACTAGTTTTCTAAGCACAAAAGAAACATGCTCGGCGTGGTGCCAGCACTGGCTTTGTCGGGGCTGGGGGTGTGCCTGCCTGCGAGCTGGCAGCCCCTTGCAGAGTGCCCTGGGGAGCTCAGCGTGGGCTAGTCGCTGGAAGCAGTCGTAAGTTTGAACAGTCTTGCAAAGCTGTCTCTTTTTTGGTCAGTGGCATTTTTAGGAGGTTAACCACTTAGTCTGAGGGAAAACAGTGATGTTTTTGGTCAGAGTGGGATTCACTGCAAGTCTCACCTGGGACTTTCCTTCTAATGAGTCTAGTTTATGTTCTGAAAACAGCACGTGGCTGCCTTGTCACTTTTAGTTTGACATAACGTTCATCTGCTTTGCTCCCTGTCCAAAGACTTTCTTCCCAATCCATCTTAAAACAGAGAGCTCTTCAGCAGTGAAATCATTTACCATTTTGAAGGCATCTGTAGAGGTGATCTGGAAAAGTGACTGTCAGAAATACTGAGCACAGAAAGGGCTTGAGGAGGGATGGCATATTCCCGTGGTGCAACTGTGTTGGGAAATACAGGAGTAAAATTGTTTTCAGTACGTTTTGTCTGACAGACTGCATCTCTGGTTTGCTTGATAGTCCAGATAAAAAGGGATATAAAAAATAGCCAAGAGAAATGATGATGCAGAGGGAAGGAAGGTGATGGGAGCTGACTTAGCTGAAGCTTGGGTGGAGACAGGGTGATGGTGTGGATGATAATGCTTGGGTTCACCTCTCTGCAGCAGGGTGCTTTGCAGTCCCTGGGCAGTGAAAGGAAGCTGGAGATGGGGGTGATTGCAGGGCAATGCGCCACCAAAGCCTAGAGCAGCCCCTGGGGTCCTAGTGGGCCTCCTGCAGGTGATGAATGCATTGGCAGAGTTGTGTGTAACGTGGAATGGTTAATTGTAGCACTTTCCCCTCCTATCCCAGTTCGATCCCGACAACACCGGCTACATCAGCACCGAGAAGTTTCGCTCCCTTCTCCAGAGACACGGCTCGGAGCTGGACCCCCACAAGCTGGAGGTCCTGCTGGCCCTGGCAGACAGCAACTCTGAGGGGAGGATCTGCTACCAGGACTTCGTCAACCTGGTGAGTGCTCTGGCTGGCAGGGCCTTTGAGTCCTTGGCTCTGCTTAAAACATTGGCTGTTGAGGGACAGTCCCTTTCCCTCCCTCCCTCTATCAACACCAGTGTTTGCTGTTTCCCTGCATCACACTCTGCATGGGCTTGCTGAAGTATTCAGTGGTGACTGAACTCTCAAGCCCAGAGTCAAGTTGCTGCTGATTTTTCCAGGGAAACAAGTTTGCATGGGAAGAAACTGGGGGAGCAGTTGTAAGAGGAGCATGAAGCAATGGCTGCTGCTAGTTTTGAGGCTTTTGCTCTCAATATCAATTGGTAGCTGTTGTAAGGAGCCATTTGTTTGGAAGCAGAGGTCTGTCAGTCTGAATGTCTCCTATTTTATCTAGAGATTTCACCACTCCCAGGCAAAATATAACACGGTGTTGACTTGCAGGGTGGAGTCATATTGCACTGCTGTAGGCATCAACAGCAACAGGGATAAAGTGTTTCTAGGTCATGTTCATTTTATCCCAGGTGAGATGTCTCAGACTGTGTGAGTCATGATCTGGATGCCTCTCTGTCTTTACTAATGAGTCAATTAGTGAAGGGATCTCTCTGTTTCTCATCAAGGCAGTTCGGTGAGCCAACACAGATGTAGACATGTGTTGTTAGATGCCCAGGATGGCCTAGAAATGTTGTTTGCAAGATGGGTATCTTGAACAGTGGCCATTCCAGGGGCTTTGCCCTGTTCTTGCTCTGTCATTCCCCACCTGAGTCCCAGAAGATTTAGTACAGTAGTAAGAGAAACCTGTGTGACAAAGTCAATGAGCAGTGGAAGTCAGTGACATATCTAAGGTTTTGCTGGAAAGCTGGATGTTTTCTCGATGCAGAGTATAATAATTTGCATCTCTGTGTTCCTTCAGTCAACATGGGGATTTGATCCCTCCATTTGTCATGGTCACTTATGCATGTGTTCTCGATTGAGAAAGAGTCTTCTGTATGTCCTGTCTTCACATTAATCAGAAAAGTATGATAACAGGGCATAGTTGTCAAGGATCCAGGTCACAACCTGGTCAGGCTGTGGGCAGTGTGAAGGTGAAATTATTGTGATGCAATGACATAGATCTGCTGTATCTAATCAAGCCGTCTTGTTAGCCCCTTGCAAGTATTTAGGTACACAGTAAAATAAATGTAGCAACTATTAAATAGATCACAGTGAGTGTGAGGTTTTCCTCAGCTCCAGCTTAATAAGCAGTGTGGTCAATGGTACTCTGTGATCGGTGGTGTATTTATAGTAACAGCTGCTTGTTCTACAGTTTGGTATATTCAAAGTACCATGCAAGCAAGCATTCACTAATTGAGCTGCACAACACTTAGGTAGCAGGAAGAGGTATCATCTAATTTCTTTTACAGAAATGATGGCCTAGGGCCAGCCAATACGTTAGCAAGAGGCTCAGGAATAGAACTAGGCTTTTTCCTCTCTCCTTGCTCCACTGAGCTCCAGAGCAGCACAAGCTAATGAGAGGCAGGTGGGAGGTGAAAGGCTTGGACATCCTCCTCCTTTGGGGAATAGGAGATCGTGCCAGCTCACGCCCACCTGATGTAATTTCTGCAAAATGGCAAATTTCCTTTGCTACTATTGAATGACTCCTGTAAAGAAGCCATTGGTTTTTCTGTCATCAGTCTCTCTACCCTCATCTGCGTTTTTTGCACTTTCTAATCAATAGGCAATGCAAATGCCAGAACATTAAACTACTTACAAATGGCATCTCTCTCCTCACTCCTCCTCTAGCTGCTATTGATTTCTAACATCCAAACTTTTTAGGACTCCTCCTCTTTTCCCTAGTTTCCTGCTCCGAAACCTGCCTTGTGAACTTCCTGATGGAAAGAAACAGCACAGTTGACACAGAATCACTGTGAAATGAGTGATTTCCTTCACTTTGTAGCTGTCAATCCTGGAAACTATGTGTGGTGATGTTTAAGTACATGCTTGTGCTTGATGATCATCAGCCATCTCTGCTTTTTGCTCAGGTTAATTTGTCTGTTTCTGTAGCTTAGCAAGAATTGATCTGCTCCCCAAATTGATAGTACTGGATGTGGGGAAGGGAAAGGCTAACCTTTTACTAGATCCACAAAGGTTTTACAAGCATGGCTCTGTGCATGTGGTTTTCCTTTTCTCCGTCAATATTCATGAACAAGTGCTCTGACACGAGAATCTCATGGCCTACCAAATGTGTCTGAGGTACTGAAACTCTGAGCAAGAAGTAAAATTGCATTAATAAGGCTCTGGCCACTGGAGGGGACTTGAGGGGAGGACCGGGGCTGGGTATCAGAGATGCATTACAGTGCAGTTGTCAAAGCAGAGGTGTGGAAGGAAGGAGATTCCTCTGTGTGTGTGTCTCACAAGCAGCTCTTTTGGTTTCTTTCCAAGCATGGGATGGAAGGAGCCGATGAGCTGCCTGCTCAAGCTACTATGAAAAAAACTAACTCTATCCCAGCCAAAGCCAGTACAAACATGCACTGTCTCACAGAATCCAGCAGAAAGTAAGGTTTGACCTCTGGGCACCAAGAGAACTGTCTTCAATGGTCAGCTCCTGGGATATGATATCCTCTTTGTTTTTTCCCTCAGCTTTGCTAATGTTGATAAAAATCAAGCAGGGAGGGTCTTCCCTTTTTTCAGCCTTGTAGAACCCTTGATCTTTGCTGGATTCCCTGGAAGTGTGACAGAATGTGATGCTTATTCTGCAGGGTGCTTGGCTACTTACTAGAGTCTGATGCCAAGAGATGCTATTAGTGATCACAGAAGCACCTGTAACTCTACGGAATTATTATTTTCAGAAGTCACTACAGGCCATAAACCTCACAAAGCAATAGTGTTAACACATTGTTTCCTCCAGGGTACTGCATGTCCCAGAGAGGGCAGTAAAAAATGCTTGCAGCTGTATGCTCCAACATCATCACGAGCACCAAGACTTTTGCCTGCTCTTTCAGACACTGTGATCCCCAACTAAAGGACTGCTATTGAGCAATGCTGTGTTATCTCCTGATGTCCAAAGTGTATTGTGAACTTCTAGATGTACCAAAAATTTAATTCCAGGACATCTCACCTTAATAAGGAGACCCAGATATACTCCCACAACACATATGCCTGTTCTCAACTCAGCAAAGCAGCTTAAATTTCTGAAATTGAAAGTTTTACAGGATGAGAATAGACCCTAGAAATCACTCAGTAAGTAATTTCAGTAATGAATGAATTCAGGGAAGCTGAAGACTCCTGGTGTCATCTGCAAACAAAGGGCTGAAAAAAAATCAGATAGGCAACTCATTGGGAATTATTTCTCCTCTGTACCCCTGCGATTCATCTAATGTAGTTGTAAAACACAATGCTGCAATCATAGCCACTTCTGTTTCTACACTGGGGCTTACAAGAATGGCAGAAAGCAGTTTCAGATGGGATTTCTTATCCTGTGTCTGAGACAGTGCAGAATAACAAAAGTGTTTCCTGTACAAGTGGAGATGTCTTGTGCATTTCTGTTGTCTGGTTGCTTTTCTGCATTGTGAAGAGAGATGCTGAAAATGCACAGTGGAAATTCTGGCTATGAACAGCATAGGCCACAGGAGGAGATAATGAGCAAAGCTGTTTAACTAACTTTGCTACTTTGAGAGAGGAGACAAGTCAGGAGGTAATTATAGTTGAGATGTTCTTTGCCAGGATCCTTGCTGAACAGCAGTTGCTGCTGGCAGTCCTGGACTACTTCACATTATATCCTGTGAACTGTAACAGAGCTAAAGGGCAGAGCAGCGAGGCCCTGGAGAGACTCAGTCTCATTCTCTGGCTAAACCTTCATTGTCTTCTCTGCCTGGGAATGTGGATTGTTGCTTTGGACAGGCTGGGTCGTGGCTTTACCACCTCTTCACCCTCTTGATGTGTTCCTCTTCAGACATGTGAGCAGAATCAAAGGGGTACAATGGAGCTTCTGAGACCTTACTCTGCTTGACGGAGGGGCAATATGGAGCCAGTTCAGGCTGTGGTGGTAGCTTATATTCTCTTGTTGTGAAAATTGGGTAAGTAATTCCTAGCCTTACTCTGGGCAAGGAAAGTTTTACAGAATGTTGTGTTTATTAAAGTAGCTTTTGCTAGAAGAGTAAATCACAGCTTATATTGAGACTAAAGCAAAATCCATTCTGCAGCCCAAGAGATTTCTCTGCCAGTGCAACTCTACAGATCACGTCTGAACCAAATGTGTTGTAAAAGCTGACCTCAATGCATTCAGTGTGGTCCAGATTGGACCTGCCGGCATGGGGCAGGAGGACTTGAGGGGGGAAGGGAATGTGGCTGTCGCCCATTCCAACACTGGCACTACCCTGGGGCGAGCCCCTGGTGCACACTGAAGGTCTCTCTGTCCCTGCTTCGGATCTCATAATCAAAGGGCAGGACTGGAAGTCAGGTGGACCAAAGTTTTGTTCCTCGCTCTGCAAAGACTCACTGTGAAACTTTTGGAAACCTCATGTCTCTGTGCCTCATGGGTCTGTTTCTCCAGCAGATGGAAGGAGGTAAGAGTTGCATCTCTTTTGGGGTTCACAGTTTTGGCAAAGTCAATGGCAGTTCTTCAGAGGAAGAAGAGCCAGGTGCTGGGGAACCAGCTCTCTGATGAGCATTTGCTTGGGGAGCTGTGTTGGGTCTACAAGAGCTGAGGACAAATGCCATTCCCTGAAGGCAATGGTATTTCAGCGTTTGGGAGGAATTAGTAAGCTCTGAGACAGACTTCATGTGACTTGGGAAAAACAAAACACTGCTGCTTCCAACAGAAATGTTTAGCTGTATCTTTGTAGTAACTGCAAGCTGATGTAGCATCTCAGTAGTGAGCAAAATATATTAGCTAAATAAACATCCTTTGTTTTTCATATCAAGAATTAACACCCACCTTGCTTTCCCTGGCCTTGCTGGCTTCTAGGCACAAGCTAATTATACCTCATTTTCAGTGAGCAACATGCATATTTTTTTAAGCACTGTATAACAATAATCAGGTC